AAACTTTATCAGTAATACAATTTAATAAACTTGATAATTAAGGTGATATCAAAAAATGAAACCCTAAAATCTTGTTTGATATTCATAAATTTATCCCATCATTTTTATCTCTTCACTACCAAAGGAAATCAAGCACATTGCAAGCATTTTGTTTTCATAGTTGGAAAGAAACTCTAACTAAAGTGAATACACCTATTCCATTGTACATGATACTGCTTGAGTATCAAAAGGGACTTAAATAACATTAAACATGACAGACAATCAAGAAAGAGAAAATTTTTATCATACTTCTTATCTTCACAAAGGTTTTATTTCTGCTGTTATTTTTAAAGACTTATGGTCTGATTGTTATTGCAAAAATAGTATTTCTCAATAAGCAGACTAATATTAGTTGGTTTAGATATGAATTGAGAGGTTTCTACGATTTTGAGAAATATTGCCATCAGTCAAAATATCATATATATGGAAAACAAATGCTTTTTTTTTTCCCAAAAATGAGGCACTTCTGTACAGCAATAATGGTAGCTAACCAAGAAAAAGTAAGGTTATTTTCAGATTCAGCACCCACAAATTAGCTTAAAAAGTTGTTTGGTGTCTAGACACCATTTCAAAATATTTGTTTTTTGTTGACCAGTTAAATTTATTACTTTTGTAAATTTTGTATTCATTCATTGATTAGGTGTTGATTATTATTATTAAATTTACTTCATTCTTGCTATATTTGTATTAATTGTTTATTAATTTGTTAGTATTTATTTACTTAATTTGTTTTTTTTTTTTCCTTGGAGGTGGTGGTTAGCTTATTTGTTTGTTTAAAGTACTGGTTCTGTCTAAAACTTTAGACAAAATGAATACTTTAAAAATACCAATAAGATGACTAACACTAATATAATAATTATCAATGTGTATATAATTATATATTTCCAGTGTGTTTATTTATAGATTTCCTGGCCCATCTGTAATGGGACAGGACGTAAATTAAGTTAAGTTAGTAAATTTATAAGTGATCACTTCCCTTAGTCAAGATATACAAATAAAATATTTATCTCCAATTAGGAGAAATTAAGCGTTTTATTAATTGATTCCTCTACTCCTATATTTCTTAGATTCTAGTCTTTTGCTACAAATCAGCAACCCCCCACCACCACAGTATTTTAAAAAGAATTTTAATTTTTTTTGAATGTGCATAAATGTGCCAATTTTTGTAAATATGGACAACCATGCATGACATTATCAGAAAATAAGAGCAGTAACTATAGCACATTTAAAATTTATTGATAATTTTCTAACATTTTCTCCATGAGCATCTTTGTAAGTTATAAAGCCAAAATACGTAAAATTCAATAAAATATTAAATTACTTAGAATATTTTCTTAATTTTTAAGATTACTTTATTTTAAGATGCACTCCTGTTACATTTGTCAATTTTTACAGATATATACTCTGTAGAAAACTTCCAAACATAAGTCTATTAAGATAGTTGTCAACACCTCTAAAAAACACACACCTTCATATTAAAAATGCTTTTCTGCAATATTTTAAAGCAAGTAATATTTGTTCCAAATCAGATTAATTAAACTTCAAATCGGCTAATATTCCTCAAATAAAGTTTCAGAAAAGTATTTTTTATTTTTGAAAGATTTTTTAATAAAGAGAATTATGTTGTGCTAAGAGATTTGTAAATATGGTTAAAAATGGCTAAAATCAGCCATTTTTTTGAGATTTAAAAAAAAAAAAAAAAATTCATTCCAATCAATTTAAATTCATTTTGATATACAGCAAAGTATTTTGCTTATTGAAAATGCTAAATTTATTGTATTAGCTTGTAGTTAAAACTAAAATAAAAGTTTCAGGAAAGATTTTTCAATTTTTAAAAATTCATTTTAAATTATGGGCATCGCTTTTCTTTGGAGGGACCTAGTTAAGGGTAACCTGCTCCAGATCATAATGTAAACTATGATTGAAAATGCTGTCAGGAGTGTAGCCGTATTGACCACATTTGGTCAATTACAGGCTGGTGAGGCTATTTAACCCATAGTTGGAGGTTTTAAATTAAGAGTTGTCTTTCTCTTAAACCAGTTGCCACCCAAGGCTATAGGATCCAGTCTGTCCTGCTATTTACCCATAGCTGAGAAAAGAGATGTATCCAATTTTCCTTTCCCAAGGGTATTTGCACTTAAGTGAATGTATAAACTCAGTCTGCACTAAGTAAGTCAAATTCCTTGATGTCTCGTTCAACCTAAGTAATGGGACATATTGCCCTTACAAAAAAAAACAAAAAAACATGGACAACATTGTGTATATTCATAAAAATTAAAACCACCCCCACTACAATATTGTAACATATTAAAAGATCAGTACAAATGCAATTATCAAGGAATTCAGCTAATGAAATTAAGCCAAGCCTATTTACCAGCAGGCACTGACATAACATAGCCTTAATAGCAAAATCAGCTACAATAACAGTGACAATAATAATAATAATGATGATAGTAATAAAGTTTTTTTTTAAATACTAACAGGAAGATAATATAGTTTAACCCACTATTCAATAAGGCCATTCGGACAAATATCAATCAATTTTTTCTAAAATTGATAGATAAACACATTGCAGGTAATAATCTGCTCTGTAAATTGTTCAAGAAAAACAATTTAAAAGTAAGCAACAGTTGTTCTGGCAACATAACAAAGAGGATCAGCAGGCATAATATTGATATATTACAGAGCAGCGAAGATTTGCCCAATGACAAAAAGAACATTGATATTAAAGAACATTGCCCACTCCAAGGAGAATGTTTAATAGAAAACTTTGTCTACTGGGCTGTAATTTGTAGTGGGGACAAGGAAACATTTTATATTCATGTGACAGAAGGAGAACATAAAAGCAAGAATGTGAATAAATTCATAATACAGAATGTTAGGGTGGTGTACACCAACCAGTCTCTTTACCAAGACTAATACATCCAAGTCTCCAGGAAGAGCATTGGCTCTTAAGGTATGTCTCACCAAATTCAGTAGTGACTCCTTTCCTACCCATCTCGCCCTGTGCCCATTATTTCATATTAAATACTGCAAGCCATGAGAAGGTCACCTGCATAATGAATAATATTATCTTGTCAATCTGACCACCTCAGGTTTGTGAGGCAACAGCATCAACATCTACATGAAAATGAAACTTTTAGTCATGGAAAGCAGTAACATATTAGTATTGTCTTACTTCTATTTTATATTCGCTCAGTTTTGTATATTCTTTATATTTTACATTGAGCACTGTCTTTATAGCATTCTTGTCTTGCCTTTATTATACTATATATATATATATATATATATATATAGATCAAATCACAACAAGACGCGAGACCTTTAAAAGACTTTAATGAATTAACAAGATGGCTACATTTTCTATTGAAGAGTACACAACAAAGGGAGGTTATTAATAGTCAAAAGGGAGATTACAAGGGAAAAAAACCTGCATTTAAGCTATCTCCTGTGGAGGGCTCTTGATTGGGCATTCATCACAATAGATAAGGAGGAGTGGATGCAATTGGCAACAATAAACTACGGAAGAACTCAAAATTGATCACTGCATTTAAGTATTGCATTAATATCTAAGCTTACCTTTTAAAAGTTCAACGATAATTCTTCTGCCACTAGTTAATTTAAAAACAATTTGATGAATGTAGTTCCTTACTTTCCACACAAACAATTATTTTTATTTCATGGGTGACTTTCACAATTTCCATTATTCCCAAATTTATTTCCAAGTTATAAAAATTGTTATCATAGCAAAAAATTTGTTGCAGAAAAATCACATAAAAGAATTGCCAAAAACAATCGCAGTAATGAAAACTTGGTAATCCAAAGTTTTAGAATTGCGGGTTCAGCTCCAACATGGAATGTTTTTAATTTGCTCACGGAGTTGGCCTGATTCTAAAATGGTATATGTTGGGCTACGGCCTCTAGGAGTAAAGTTGAAAAAGTGTGACACAGTGACATTCGCATTTATTTTATATATATATATATATATATATATATATATATATAAAATCAGATAGATAAACAAGCAAATAGAAGAAAAATAATCTTGAGAAAATGAAATACAAAGACTTACAGTCACAAATAAATCTGACTCTCCTTCACTTGGGGATTTAAAAAGTGCCACAGACTTTTCAAGAATCTTTACACTCATCTTTGGGGTTTTCCTGATTCAGTGTCAGCGTCTATAATCTTAAAATGAAAAACAAAAATCATATTTTTATCATAATCATAAATGATGTCATCGCAAACAGGTAACCTTGTTTTTCGTAAGGTTTCTTTCTCATAATCTCCAAAAAGGTATTTACTAAATTTTTGCTTCCAATATGAAATCTTAACTTGCCTAGCAGGATTTTTTAATAATATTTTTTTAATTAACTGCCCTCTCACCTTTCACACTGATAATTATTAAACTTAGAGTAGTTTGTTGAAATGATAACAAAACACAACCAGTGTAAGTAGTGTCTCTCTAATGGTCTAAATTGTGTTCGTTAGGATTTGCAAGGATTACTAGTGAAACTGGAAGGACTTGTTAGACAACAAAGTCATCCACAAATCTCATGGAAGACAATTTGTTTCTCTTTATGTCTAACCAGTTTCATACTCAGGATTTTTTTTACCATCCAACAAGAAAAAAACACAAGTTAATGTCAAAATTTAAAAAAAAACAAAAAGACATTTTTTTAAACTATAAATGATGCCTTTTACCAAACCCACACAGTCATAAAAGGTTTTTAACACTGAATACATGACACCCCTATTACTATAACTACCTTCACTCCTCAACAATGTTTATTGTTTTTAAAAGCGATGATTAGAATTGTAATAAAATTTAAACATATGATGAAAGTGAATTTATACAGTTTTATTTTGTTCTTGAGAATTTACAATCAAAAATATTGAAGATTATTTATTTATTATGAAGGTAGTTAAAACAATAGTGATGTCAAGGCAAAAACTGTCCTTTTGACACTCTGTATTGGGGGGGGAGGTCCATGTTTGCTGAATATTTTTAAATAGGTTTTTTTTTAATCTGACATTATTTCTTATCACTATAAATGTATTTTTAGTGAGTAAAGTTATTTGAGTTTTATCTGTTTTTTTTTTTTCATTTTCTTAAACGGTTGAGTTAATATCAACCATCCAAGATCAAGTACAATCTTAGTAGGACTTTTCAATCTAAACCAGTTGTTATTAATATCACAGTTTCAGAAAACATCGATAGAAACTCCAATAACTGTACCTACTACTAAAAATATGGTTTATTTAGTAAGGAATATATAAATTTAATTTATTTATATATGTAGAGTTAGCAACAACTGTTTTTCAAAATAAACATATTTAAAAAATGGAAGCTAAAGACATTAAATTTAATTATATAATTAAATTAAAAGCATTAGTTCCGTTTCATCTTCCAGCGAATATTGATTCCAATATTCACTTGAAGATGAAACGGAACTAATGCTTTTAATTTAATTATATAATTAAATTTAAAGTTTTTAGCTTTCATTTTTGAAACAAGGTTATTACTGTGTAGCGAAAAAACATTTTAAATCAGTTAATTTATAAAATATATATATATATATATATATATATATATATACACAGTGTAACCCGGATATAAGAGAGATTTTCTCTGGTCCCAAATTAGAGCCTGTGTTAATGTATATAAAATAGACCAATGCCGGATATAAGAGACTTCTTCTCCGGTCCCAACAACTGTCTTATATCCAGGTAACACTATATATATATATATATATATATATATATATATATATATATGGTTGGATCTTTTCTGTTAATACACCCCAAATAAGGTAAAGTTACTTATTGCAATTATTAATTCACCACAAGAAATTATGAATTTTAAATCAAAGTTTGTTTATTAATTTTTTTTGGCACTCTTTTTGAAATTAAATCAAAATTTGTTTACTTTAGCTTACCTTGCAACAACTCCAACCCTCAAAATGAAAAATTACCAAAAATCACGAAGTTATTCACATTTCGCAAGTGAGGTTAATATTCGAAATACTTACAAGGAATTTTTTACAATTTAAAAAAAAAAATCTGTTTTTTGGGCTTCTGCTTGTTTATATTGCAGTGAGCGCGAACGTAGACCCCGACACTTAGAAATAGCGCACCGAGTCGCACACATTTGGGGCGATCGAATTGGTCAACCCAGTTGGAGTGCAATGGAAAGGCTTCGCTCTCAAGGAAAGTTTGGTGTGAATTTTAGTAATTTTTTTTTTCTTTTTAATTTTGGGTTGAAACTCAAACTATAATAAAGAAAGATTCATAATAAAAATTTAACCTGGCCTGAAATTCTGGTTTCCAGGCTGAAATCTAAGTAGCTATGATGCATAGCTACTAAAAAAAAAAACTAATTTAAATGTTCTCATAAATTTCTAATAACATCTCCCATCATCTCATACGCACACACCATAACTAAAATCCGGAATAATTTTTATATAGGATTCTGAGGGCACTTAGAATTTGTTTGTAGCCCCAATATCTACATGTTGAAACGAAATATACCGAAAAAAATACTTTTAAAAGGTCATCCAATAACTTTATTAATTAAATTTATCATTAATTTATTTTATTGTGTATATGCACGGACTTTTTTTTTCTTCAGTACCATATTAAGACTTGTTCAGGCGTACAAGAAAAATATTTATGCTAACAAAGCTAAAGATGAAAAATAACTTATTTACTTGCTCCAATAAAAAATATTAATTTCAAAAATCGAATCATTTTTTTTTAATATCCTACCTATTTTTCTTCTTCTTCTTCTAATACCGTAGTGCTTCCCTTATTTCTTTCTTACAGCCTACCTTTCTTTTCCTTTTTTAGTTTTTTGTTGTTGGATTAGGCAAGTCAATATGATGAGAGCGCTGAAGGAAGACGAGTGGGGGAAAACAACATTTCAAATCCAAGCACATGTGTCAGTTTATATAAACCCACCTTTTCTACCTCGTTGCCGCTTTTCGCGTTGAAGAGTTCCGGCACGCCCGGATGGCCATAAAAGTACATCAAACGCTAGAACGATCCTCGATATATACCAACAATAAGAGTCACATTAAGGAGGGCACTTTGTGTTTTATATGTTCTTTTTTTTTTTCTTTTTTTTTAGTTGTTTTACCATACTGCAGTGTCGTTTTATTGTGTAGGGAAGAAAGAGGAGGAAGGAAATACCAGACTGACGACAAGAAAGTATTTCCTATATAACAAGGAAGAAACGTAAGCGAATGGCACGCAAGAAGAGAAAGGCTTCTGAGGCTGACTTGTTATGGTCATGAGAGAAAGACGAAGAGCAAGAACGATAACTCTAGATTAAAAATATTCGAGTTCTTTACCTTGTCGCTATGATTTTATTAAGGCATGCTTAGATTTAAAATTTTAAATACTTAAAAATTTTATATAAATATTCGTAACTTTGCCACAAACATAAGATATCCAGCCCATATGAATGGTTTGGTAAAACACTCATTTTTTTTAAATAAATAATGCAACATAAATATGGGCGCATATTTTTCGCCAACTGACTAAATTTTCAAGCAGCACCAGTGTAAGTCGGTGTTCGAGCCCGGCTCGGGTTTTTTTGAATGTTGATTTTTCAAAGCAGACTCAACAAAAAATAAATGGGATGGTATCTCCCAATCTCCGTTTCAGAGTTTCCCAATATTTCGTCGCGTGTCCTAAAGTTAAAAAAAAGCTTTAAGTAAAGTAAATATAGAGCACACACCGCCATATGGTCAGAAAACGCATCTTACAAAAAACAATTTTCAAATTTAATAACAGGTGTCCAGTTAAGCGGGGCCGGATTATCCTTTTTTAGGATGTCGCGGCTAGGATCCCTCAAGCTTTTATAAAACAATAATTTTAATTTTCTAAATGTTATAACTTCAAAGTTTCATTGAAATGATGTCACTATGACAAAAAAAGCTATCTTTTTTTTGTTTGTCAATAAAAATATTCTGTAAGAAATGTCACTATTATTATTTTCCAATTTATTGCAAACCAAAGTAGCACATTTTCTACACAGTCGTAGTAAAAAGAAATTCTTTTATAACCAGTTTTTTTTTTATATAAAAAATAAATATGAGTTTGTCATATTGTGATCATTTTTAGTTTAAAGAATTTGCGATAAGTTTTTACTTTTCTTCAAGCTCTCTATGACGAATAAAAAAAATATTCAAGACGGTTTCAGGCATTTTTTAGGGTGGTTTCGTCAACGGGCCGGGGGGCATAATTTCATTAGTCTAGGGGCCCCAAAATGTCAAAATCATCATCTTAGCAAGCTAATCTCACAGACCATTTCCTAAGCTAGGTCAAAATCATTTCTCATTCTACACACCCACGCTGCCGTTTTCATTTTTAATCAACAGAGAGAGAGAGGGTAGGGTGGGGCAGGAAGCAGATGGTAAACTGACAAGAAAATATTTTCCGCTACAGCAAGCTTGTATACGTATGCAGAAGGGAGATAACCTATCTTTTGATGCCGGCTTGTGCTGGGCGTTAGCAACAGCACCGAGAGAAAAAAAGGCCTGTTCAATTAAACATGACGTCACCACAAGTAGTATAAGCGAAGCTGCTGAAAATGAATGATTATAAGCTTTTTTTTTTTTTTAGTAAAGAATACTTTTTAAATTACAATTAAAGAAAAAAAATTTATTTAATATTATGATAATCTTGTTTCTGATTTTTTTGCAACATCAGAAAGACGTGTTCCACAACTTTGTGGATTTCATGACAGTCTTTACTCTTTGGCAAATCCTTAGGGAATTCAATGTAGATAACGGAATTAACCAAGTCATCTAGTTCCCATATAAAGATGCCACCAGTGCAATTTTTCTGGAAAAACAAATGGGAATGGGAGGATTCTTCTGGATAACTGTCAATGTGAAACAGGGATGTGTACTTTCACCCACATTGTTCAAGCTAATTCTAGAGAGAATCCTGAAAGAAACCCTGAACAACCATGATTTTTCAATCTGTACTGGTGGCAGACCCATCTGTAACCTACATTTTGCAGGTAGTAACAGTGAGCTCCAAGACTTGACCAAGAAACTTTTTGAAAGAGCAAAAGCATATGGAATGGAGATCAGCTCCAAGAAATCCAAAGTAATAGTGAATAGCAGAAACAGTAAAACC